TTGGCTGCTGTTACACTTCTTCAATCTCTCCGGGGATAAGTGGCTTTCTATCATCACACTAGGGAGCTAATAGCTTAGCTGCCCCGGGCAATCTGCTTTTCACAAATGCAATGACACTGAATAAAGTTTCGTCATCCAAATTGTACCGACGCTGCACCACCACCACCACAGCCGTCCTGCAAAAAAATTGTGAGGCTACGTCGAGTATTTACTAGAAAAATTCTGCTTTGCCTTTCTTTTTCTTTTTTTTTTCCCCCTTTCACATCTCTGACTGCTGTAACAGTATACATGAGAGAAGGCAGAATCGCTCTTGGGAGAGCTTGTGCCAAATATTAACTTGCTCCCTCCACCTGGGAGGACAGCTTTGTGCTGATGCTGCAGATGTGCACTGTTTACATTGCATGGCGTCCGCTGGGATTTCTTAACCCCTTTTTTTTTCACATGCAGCAGCTAGCGGCGTTTCGGTGCAGCGCAATGCAAAACTTATGCGGAGGAATGAGACGACTCCGATAATGACATTCTGCTGGAGTGATATCAGACCTTCCCAGCTATTAGCATCCCTTGTAGACTTCCCTGCACTGTAAATAGGGGTGTTGCTAATGTCTGTTTGGGGTGCAAGGGCCATATCGCCACAGCGGGCGCCTGCCCAGGGCCGCTCTTTTCGGGAATATTTTTATTTTTTTTGGTGCTTGCAGACCACTTATTTTTTGTTTTCACTATTTATTTAATTTATTTTTTTGGGCAGAAATAGTTGTGTCAAGGAAAATATTTGAATCTTGTGTTGGTATATTTATAAGAATATTAAAAATACATATAAAATATTAAATAATATATATAATATATATAAACACACACACACACAGATAAACACATTTATATAAAACAGTTAAAATACAAAGTCCAATTTTGGGTTCACCCCCCAAGTGCCCTTTCGCCATCAACTCATTTTATTGAATTTTTATTTGTAAAGAGTGACACATTTTTACACATCTGCCCGTCCTTAAGCCCTGACTTGTTTTTGTTTTCTAAAGCTGTATAAACATGTATCTTTTTTTTTTTCCCCCACACATGTTTCTACAATATTTACAGCTGAATCACAAACATTTTAGTTCATGACAAAAACTTGCGTCCCCACCCCCAGGGATCCTCTGCCTTTGGTATTTGGGAACGCTGAAGTCTCTCATGAGTTAAAAGTTGTATGTTTTTGACCTTCTGGAGGATGGCGGTCCCTCAGGATGTCAATGCTGGCAGTGGGTGTCATGTGCTTCGCTATTGTCAAACTACAGCTTACAATGTAACAAAAGAAGTATAAAACATTGGTGCAGCTAGAGCAGCTACAGGGGGAGTATAAAACATAAAGTATAAAAGATTGGTGCAGCTAGAGCAGCTGCAGGGGGGAGTATAAAACATAAAGTATAAAACATTGGTGCAGCTAGAGCAGCTGCAGGGGGGAGTCTGGCGGCACTCACCTTGGGGTTGCTGGTAAGCGGTGGGCCCTGCGCCTGTCCAGTCTTCCAGGGAAAGTTGTCAGCTTGCGGGGAGTCTCTGCAGGGGCCCCCAGGACCAGATCCTCTTGTGATAGCGGTTACATCTCCCATGTCTCAGCCTCCTGAGGCTGCATCCTTCTCCACTTTCAGGACAAGCCAAGCCCCCTGCTTTCCCCCTTCTCCAGCCACCGAGAAGAAGTGCAATGTGTGTCTGAGGAGCCCAAAGCCTTCAACGCAGCCAAAGTGCTGGGGACAGGAAATCAGAGACTTTGAGATCTTCGTCTCTGCAGGGTGACATCTTCCATCCCTCCAAACTGTCCCTGCACAGCACAAACTACAAGTCACATCCTCAGTAGCAGCAGCAGCAGAGGAGGATGCAGGACTAGGGGCAGGCTGACTGCAATGTGCCTGCTGCAGTCATTCCTCATCCACATCCAGTGAGTCCATTGTGTGTTTGGCACTCAGTGATATTTGATTGTTCCTTTTCTCCAGAGCCACATGATCCTGGATAGGTGGAGGGAGGGAAGGAGGGGGAGAGAGGGGGGGGGCTTGCCTCATAGTCATTTGGAGAGAAGGGGGGAAGCCCAGCTACCTGGCAGGGAGGTGAGAGCTGATGTGGTGGATTCCAGGGGGCTGGAGGGGAGGGGAGGGAGG